CTTTCAGACACAGACTGGAAGAAAAAGCCCTTTCAGAACAACGATTTTCATATAAACATTGAATTATACGAAAGAACAAGATAAAACTGTTTTATCTTCAGTTTTATCTTCCTCTTGAAGATGATCACTTGGTGATCGAAACACGTGTCGAGGTGTAAAAATAACGATTTGGTGTTGGTAAAAAACTCCAGTTATATTCATTACTACACCAAAGGTTCCAAACAGTATATCACATGTTCATATCAAAGTAAAACCGAACATCCAGGGCCAACGGTACCTTCGACGGATACACTGAAAAAAATAAATTGGGTCAATAACAAAGTTGTGGTTCGATACAATCTACATGCAGATCATTAATTAGCATCAGAACACATAATATTCAAACCTGGGAGAGTCAGTTTTCAATTGTTTCAGAAATCGATCACAATCAGTGAAGAGAATTTCATAATTTCATATTATATATGGTGGCTCCGTGCATTTGTGTTTCTTTTTTCTGGCAACCAAGTGTTGCCCATCCTTACACTTGGCTGCACTATACTGATGATGAACCAAAAAGCCCGAAACATGTGTCTATGATTTGACACTTCCTTGAATGCTATGTCCGATTAATAACTTCTTTATCTATATCAAGACACTCGATAACCTTCGTATTTGTATACATATCAAAAATGAAACAATTAGTGAGTGGACACAACACTCCAAAAAGGGGGGGCAAACCGCGAACACGTGTTTCTGGCTATTGGCCTCATCAGCGCGGTGTAGCCAAGTGTAAAGATGGGCAACAATTGTTTGCCGAAAGCAAGAAACAACACACGCACGGAGTCAGCAACATGAGCCAACCGCACATTTGTCGTTCCAGTTAGAAGACCTACGTGACCACGTAGGCAAGCTATAGCTACCTGCGTGACATCCATGTCCAGGATATAAATACAGAGAGCTATTTTATCGAGTGTGTATGCTACAAATAAAAAATGAAACAATTAGTGGACACAACACTCCAAAAACCGCGGACACGTGTTTCTATTGGCCTCATCAGCGCGGTTCAGCAAAGTGTAAAGATGGGCAACACTTGTTTGCCGAAAGCAGGAAACAACACATACACACTCGATACAATATCTCTCTCTGTATTTATATCCTCGAATCTGATGTCACGCCTGGGAATTCTAGGCCTTCTAACTGGAACCACAAATGTGCGGTTGGCTCCTGTTGTTGACTGCGAGCGTATGTGTATGGGCAACAAGTGTTGCCCATCTTTACACTTGGCTGCACCGCGCTGATGAGGCCAACAGCCAGAAATACGTGTCCGCGGTTTGCGGTATATATTCAAAATTGAATTACAAAGCTCCTTGCACAAACTACACAAACTATTTGGATGTAGTATACTGTATACCTTGTCGTAGCTGTGTAAATAATAGTAAATAAATTATTGATAAACACTATGCAAATCACAAAATGCACAATTAGTTTCGAAAGTTTTTTGCCAGATTTTATTCATAACATATTTACTCAATATTTTCGGAGCAACTGTGAGGAAGGGGATGGGGCTGAGAAGAGAAATTGATGACTTTACAAACGAGATATCGTTGACTTCTAATCCAAATAAGGGATAGATTGCTTCCCGTCGAAGGGGTGGAAGTAACTAAGTTGACATTATACTAAAAATAATTTTCTCTCGTAATGAAACTTCACGTGTCAGAGCTCTAAACGTCAACTTTGAGAAAACGTTTTTTTTTCATTTCCATTTGCCCACATATTCTGTTTTCTTAATACGTTTTCACTAAACATGTTTACATTGTCAGTCTTGAAAAGGAACAGCGCGGCGTTTGAACGTATCTGAAAGCAAATTCACAACCATTCAAAATCTCATCTTATTAGTTTCTATCAAATTTGAAAGAGTTTCTGATACTTAATATAATCTTACTCTTTGCGGGTTTATCTATTAGGGAACTTCAAGAACTTACCACCAAATTCCTTAGTCTCGGTGGAAAACAATCGACTTATGTCCTACCTTAGTTTCAGGGATTCTCGTTCTAAATCTTCCGAATATTGCAATTCCTCTCAAGTTAATATCGTGTCCACATATTTTTGCTCGAAGATGTTTGAAATCTTCAAGGGCCTGCAGATTACACTCACGCTTGTATTTGCGCCAGATTCTGCTTTTAGGCTGCAAACCTCTAATAATGCTTCTATTATACCAAGGAGGACTGTATACTTGGGACAGCAGCGATTAAAAACATTATAAAGTTTTCCATAGAAATATGTGGATGCATCTTCTGAGTCATCAAGAACTTCCAAGAAGGTCCAGTCAATATGAGATATTTGATTATACAGTTGTGGATAGTTGGCTCATTTCAAATTATAATTATTCTGGAAACAGGAATGCAGTTCATTTTTGTAGTTAGCCTTTGACACCTTTGGACTTTTTTATGGGGCTATTTGAAGCAAAAGGTGTACGAAACTGAACCTGCTTCAATATTGTATATACGGCAGAGAATAAAAAATATTTGTAGAGATATTGACGTTACTGTATTCTAAAATGTTCGGCGTGAAATATCGGATATACTGTGCATATGTTAAGAAGTTCAAGGCAATCATTTAAGCATCTTCTGAACTGACCTCAAGCTTATTACTTCATATTATGTAGTTAAATGTCAATGTATTCAGGTAATCATTAAAAGTTCCGCCATTTTGTAGTAGTTGAAAATATTCACATTATATTCTAGGGTTGTGAAGCATTTTTTAGGAACTTCAAAAAGATGTGTCACAAGACCCCCCGTTCCATTTAATTTTTTTCCCAGATGGCGCCCAGTCGCCATCTTGAAAGTATCATCTGTCAATTTCACTTCAAAATAGTATTCATGTATTAATTTCATTATCCCAAATTTCAATTTTTTGAGTTGACCCATTCAAAAAATTAAATGAGGGAAATTAACGAAATGCACTGTATATGTGTTGTTGAAGTGTTTTATTAAAAAAGGGAACACTTCCTGATAATTTTTCAGTATATACCATCATTATAATCATTGATGGAGGTGATTCCACTATCTTTAATGAGTTGACTCTCATATAAAAATATAAATTCCGGATATAGCAAACGAATAAGTCTGTGGTTCCTCCCTCTGCTTTTTTCCTTCTTTATCGTTTATTTATGTAATTCATTGTTTTGATTACTTGATAATCGAATTCTGGATATAAAACGTTTTATTTACCAATAGGAAAGAATCGTTCATAATTTCATTCTAAATAATTGACGTGAGTTCCAAAAATTTTAAATCATTCAGATTTGAAAATAGTCTACAATAATGCCTGCCCATATGCCTGCGCCAGTCGTGGATGTCTTGTGAATATTTAGAAAAACCCGACTGCAACTCTAATTAATTCTTCAAACATGACTCTACCTTTGACGGAAGCACCAAACTCTTAGGGAGGGACGGAAGCACCAAACTCTTAGGGAGGTTCGAAATAGATGAACACTTCAATCTAGCAGAGCACTATTATAATCTTCATGCAGTCATTGTTCACTATGGTTCTGGCGTTGAACCTGGTCATTATTACGCATTGGTTAAAGACGAAACGGGCTGGTTTAAGATTGACGATAGTCGTGTCACTTAGTGTTCTGGCGATGTCTTGAATTTATTGGAGTCTCTGGAGACATCCTACAGTTTGTTTTATGAAAGAGAGGACATTGGCAGATCAAGATCTTCAGATGATTGTGCTGCAGGTTTTTCCGTGTTTTCCTGCAGCTGAAAAAGCAAATGCACCACTGGAATCAATTAAGTCGCCCCGGAGCGCCAATTAATTTTTGTTGTTGTTTCATAATCTCATGATTTGTATTATTTTCTACTTTAATATATTATTAATTATCAATAATTATACAATCGACTTCATAATGAATTTACAACAATAATAGAAAATTTCTTCAAATTTCCATCTCCTGATCAACAATATCAATAAAAATAATCCCTGGAAAGTCCTTGATATTGCAATTTTGACAACTGATAGGCACCCTTGGTTAAAAATTGAAATTGAGAGAAGTAATGAAACTGATACCGCCAGAGGTATATTTTCAGTAGGTCTAACTGGATTAAAGTTTGATTTGTAATTTATCTTTCGAAACTCAATAGGGATCAAATCAAAAAATATCCTGCATATGCAAGGCCATTTTTTTAAACCATGCTTTCCGTAAATTGAAGGACTGTGTAGCGGAGGAATAGTTTATAGTATATATTTGTCTTGTGTGTTTAATGTTCTTTTTATAAGTTAACCTTTGTTAGGTTTGTGTACGATCAATGACTATTTATAAAATTTTCTTCTAATAACCAAGACATTTGAGAATGGTAGTTTCTCGTTGTTTTTGAATTCATATGTAAACTTAATATTCGGGGCGGAAAAGTAGTGAATTCTGTTTTTGACACGTGTTTCCGTGGTGGAAAAGAAAGCTAATGATGCATTCCTCATGATAAGGACTCGTAAATGGTATGATAAAACTACATGAGGTTTTGACCCCGCCAGTTCACCACTAGCGTTTCGACCTCATATAATAACGAAAGAATGCAGTATTATTTTATTGAAACGAGTTATTCAATTATTTCAAAGAGCTAACCTTTATCATATCCCTCCTGAGGCTCTACAAAACTATGCGGAATGTGCCATCAGATCTCTTCACACTATGTATATTAAAATAAGAATTCAAAATTATTTCTCTGAACTGAGTTTTACGATTATTTGGCAAGCGTGATATATGTTATATGGGTTTTAGATGGGCCTTCTTGTCATCGGGTTGCAATTCGGTCATAAAAGAATATTAGCCGTCCTAGACAGTCCTAGTCAGTTTCGATGACCAACTCTGTCAAAAATTATGCTGATACTTGCCTTCGTGGATGTAGCATAGTTCAAATTCAACAAGAGAATCTAAGTTCTTGCATTGGTGCAACACAACATATTTGATTTTTTTTTCTTCATCTACTATTTCCAACTGAATTCAAAATAATGATACTTACAGAGCTGAGGAGAATACGACGCGTCCGAGGCGGGAGCATTGAAAGTGATATCAGGTTTTGCTACGACAAGCACCACCCTGTCTTGTGTGGTTTTCAGGGTAGCAACCGCATCTTCGTGGGTAACATTTTCTAAATTCACCTCCCCTTTCTGAAACAAAAACAAATCATCTATATATAGCAATTTTTGTATCAACATTTGGAATTTTTCTGATGACCAGATACAGTATTGATTTTTTTAAGTACAAAACACAAGCTCTACAGAAAAATCTTCAAGGCCCTATAAGAGGTGCCTGTGCGAAAGTAGCGATTCACATTGGATTTGGGAGAATGGTCCACAAAATGACGACAATCCATAAACCATTCATTATGAATTTTGAGAAGTGGTTCCGAAATAATGAACTAATCCTAAAGCTGAGTAAGAATCAAAGTGTGGTTTTCAAAACAAATAAAAATCTGGTTTTTATGTACAAGAAATGGAAGTGCCTGTTAATAAAGAGTGTGAATACTTAGGAATAAAACTTGATATATATTTGAAATGTAATTCCCACATTGAATATGTCTCTTCTGAACGATATCCTGTTTATACTGCATTAGAATCCGCTCAAGAAATCGATACAGTACTCATAATCCAAAAAGGAGTCATGAAACTTATTCTTCATTGTAAATACAATCGATCTTGTCGGGAATATTAAGGGCGAATCGATTATTTACATCTTAGATAGCCTAATATTTTGAAATACCCAAAAAAGTTCAGAGAACATGATATACATCAATCACTTGACTAAAAGAAGAATTCACCTCAGTTTTTTTACACATCCCGGCCCTCACTGAAAAAAGCTATAACTACTCAGCCATTAAATTTTATGATGAATTACTATCAACTCTACAGGCAATTGAAAATGTACTATCGTTTAAAAGTACAGCATTCCATTATATTTGTGAAATTGAACCTCAAATGTTCATTTTCACCTTATCAACAATGATTTTGTACACCTTTTTATTTGTGATGCTAGGCTAGGTATAAAGATTCAAAATAAAAACTTGAAATTTAGTGGTAGTGGGTTTTACAAAATGGCCTGCTCAACTGAAATATTTTGAACTTCCGATCTCTTTCTGTTATACCGGAAGTTGAGGGCAACTTCCTTATTTCAAATGAAACACTCTGTATTTCATTACATTTTTGAATTTCTCAGCACATTTTAGGCTCACTTTGTTTAACAATGCCTATACCCAAATTTGTTATTTTTCGAGATATTCATTTTTTTCTGAAAAATTTGACAGTTACACTCCGAAAAAATCATAACTCATAGACAGTAACAGTTGAATCACACCTTAAGTATCAAATCATGAACAGGTCCAACGACAGGCTGGTCGAAATTTCCACCTAAAACCTAACATCGAGAAAACTGATGAAACACGATGTATGTATTGTTTATATGTTCATATACCTATGCATTCAGTGTTTCTCATAACCAAAATAGCTTCGACCTGACCTGTTTTAGGTGATAACGCTTACTAGTCCCTATTTATATCCTATATGTAATCACCTGTAATGTTTTTCTCGTGAAAAAAATTATATTATTATTTGATGATCAATAATATTGTTTCCTTCTGAATATTCATTATTTCAAACACGAAAATGAATATGCTGAGCTATCCTCAAAAGATAGACATATGCCATTGTGGATCAAAGAATAACAACATGTAGTGAGCTGTTTTTGTTATATCTCAAAGAGATTAGGCAGCATTTTCGATGAAAGCTGGCACCGCCACCCCGATTTCTCATACACCGGTTAATGAAGACAATTACTACACGAGTGAAAATGACTTTATAGTCAGCTTGTTTAAAAACGACAAATTGTGAACCAAATAATACTCTTGACGTGTATAATGTGTATTACATCAGGTACAGTAACGATACAGTAATTTCACGGTAAAAGGTACAACCACGTTATTCTGTAGTTTGTACAAGTTTCGCTTCTGAGGGTTGTCTCGTTCATAGGGGGAGGATTGAGGAAAAGCAGATTTTTCAAAGAGACCCAAAAATGTTCTATTCAAAATGTTCATAACATTTTTTGGCAACATGTAATTGACTTTATGAATCACCTTTATTTCCACTTTTCCACTTCTCGAAGATAAATTTCCACCCAGCATCACTATGAAACAAATAGGTAATCGCACAAACCCCTATTTCGTAAACTAATGAATTTTCTTATTGCTGTACACAGCTTCCTCATTACCAACATGCTCATGTTTTTCTTTTCATAATTTCAGCTCCAGCTACCAACTTCTGCTTCGACCGTTTTAAATATCGGAGGTAGGAGGGAGTCCATTGTTCGAGTTTATGTTACGGATGAAACCACAAAGTTTCCCGGAAGTAGCTTCCCAACTTCGGTTGTCGGAAGAAGTTCAGGTTGTTGTGATAATTAAAAGCACTACTATCTATTCATTTATCTCCAGAGTGTATCATTAACAAAATTGTATTTCGAGGATGGTTCCGAAAACAATGGTGACTCAGGTTAAGTCATTGGGAAGATAGAGAATATTCCTAGTACAGATACTATAGGCCTTTTGCGAGTTTTTTCGTTACCTTATTAAAAAAAGTATACCGGGCATTGATAGATATAATGATCAAAATGATTCATCAGATTTATTGAGATTCATTAGTAATTAGTAATATTAAAAAATAATTTTTCTCATGTCACCGGAAATATTTTTCCTTCCATTGTAGACTTTTACATAATAAGAGAATATACATAAATCATATTTAAAAGAAGTTGACTTAACTGAATTGAAAAATGGATATAGCTCATTAGAGATCAGTTTTTGGAAAGAGAAACTTTATGGCATTCTAATAAAGCACTACCAAAATCATTTGATACCATATACATAATAAATTATTAACTATTCAGTTTTATTTGTGAACGTACGATTAATAATATAGAAGATGACGTGATAGCCAGCCAAACTCAAGAAGTTTTGAATCCAGATAGTCGATCTCAAAGCATAAACATTTACTATGTAAACTTTGGTATATAAATAACTGTTTCACTCGTAATGGAGCCAGGCTCCAACCGGTCCGAAACCAAGATGGCTGTCGAGAAAAGCAGTCTTCTTTGATTCCAATAATTTTTGTGAGTACTATATCTTCATTACCAATCTTCAAGGATTATATTTGTTTGAAAAAAATATACTTTAAAAGTAATTGAGCAATTTTTTGGATTATTCAAGTGATTGTACTTTATACTTGAAACCAAAAAATATTCTCCGTCATTAATCACCCTTTAGGTATTTTACTTACCACGGCGTCTCTGACAGCCACCAACTTATCGCCGACAAGCAAACGACCATCTACTTGGGCAGCACCTCCGTCCATTACTTTGGTGACGTATATACCGTTATCACCAGGTATGTGTTGGTTTCCGATACCGCCAGCGATGCTGAACCCTAAACCTTTATTTCCCTTTACCAATTCGATTTCCATCAGTCTCATATTTCGAGGTTGTCGCCTTCGACGGATACACTGAAAAAAATAAATCGGGTCAATAACAAAGTTGTGGTTCGATACAATCTGCATGCAGATCATTAATTAGCATCAGAACACATAAGATTCAAACCTGGGAGAGTCAGTTTTCAATTGTTTCAGAAATCGATCACAATCAGTAAAGATAATTTCATAATTTCATATTATATATGGTGGCTCCGTGCATTTGTGTTTCTTTTTTCTGGCAACCAAGTGTTGCCCATCCTTACACTTGGCTGCACCATACTGATGATGGACCAAAAAGCCCGAAACATGTGTCTATGGTTTGACACTTCCTTGAATGCTATGTCCGATTAATAACTTCTTTATCTATATCAAGACACTCGATATATATCAAAAATGAAACAATTAGTGAGTGGACACAACACTCCAAAAAAGGAGGGCAAACCGCGGACACGTGTTTCTGGCTATTGGCCTCATCAGCGCGGTGTAGCCAAGTGTAAAGATGGGCAACAATTGTTTGCCGAAAGCAAGAAACAACACATACGCACGGAGTCAGCAACATGAGCCAACCGCACATTTGTCGTTCCAGTTAGAAGACCTAGAATTCCCAGACTACATCTAACGTGACCACGTAGGCAGCTATAGCTACCTGCGTGACATCCATGTCCAGGATATAAATACAGAGATATTTTATCGAGTGTGTATGATACAAATCAAAAATGAAACAATTAGTGGACACAACACTCCAAAAACCGCGGACACGTGTTTCTATTGGCCTCATCAGCGCGGTGCAGCAAAGTGTAAAGATGGGCAACACTTGTTTGCCGAAAGCAGGAAACAACACATACACCCTCGATGCAATCTCTCTCTGTATTTATATCCTGGAATCTGATGTCACGCCTGGGAATTCTAGGTATTCTAACTGGAACCACAAATGTGCGGTTGGCTCCTGTTGTTGACTGCGAGCGTATGTGTATGTGTATGGGCAACAAGTGTTGCCTATCTTTACACTTGGCTGCACCGCGCTGATGAGGCCAATAGCCAGAAATACGTGTACCGGGCAGGTCATTTCAGACGAAGTGAACCGATGTTTCTCCGTCGGGTATCTGTCACGCGTCGTAGTCGTAGGACCATATGAGAGGCAAGGGGTAAGGTGTTCTTCAACTGAACTTGGGCATATCTTTGGGTGATCAGCAGAATGGAAGTGTACTCTTATAACAGAAGTTATTCCAATATTTCGATAAAATTTATTATCATCTCCAAGGAAAAGCTACAAAATTTGTATGAGGGTAGTACAATATACAAATTATAATGAAATGTCTTAAACTTACTGTTAGTGAGGATGGCCGGGACGAAAAGAATGTTACATTTAAACAATTGAAACATGTCAATAAAGAGATTTTATCGAGTGTGTATGATACAAATCTAGAATGAAATAATTCTGGCCAATAGCCAGAAACACTTGTCCGCGGTTTGCCCTCAATTTTGCATTAGTACTGTGCCAATGAAAAGGAACTATTGGACTTTTACTAAAGAAAAGGATCATTAGATTTGAGAATCTTGTGCCCCAAGCAGGCGAAATGAACCAATGCGCATTGAACAGTCACTGCATTTTTTCGGCCAATATTTTTGCCTTAGTGCGGATAAGTTGGCATAATTTCGAGTTTCGAGAGTAGGGAGGACATCAAACCACTAAAGACACCAACAATCACAACATCCATCTTAACAAAGTGGTCTGAATAGTTGGAAGAGAAAATCCCGATAGTATGATTATCAGTATTATTATATCAAACAAATGTAACAATTTACTCGACCTCACATGAGAGTTTTCTGGCCAAACTTCGATGCTATGGCTTGCTGGATCCTTTTTGTGTGTGGTACTCCAGCTTCCTGAAAGAACGTTACCTGTAAGTGACCGTCGATGGATATCTGTCGAATACTTTTACCATCAACGCTGGTGTTTCCCAGCGATCCATATTATATCCAGCCCTGTTTTTATTGTATATCAACGACTTATTGGAACAAAACGAAAATCCAATATATCATTTCCTTTGGATTCCAGGATATCGGCTGCGGATGCACATCTTGACCGGCAACAGGAGTTTGCTTATCTTAACGAGGAACTAGAGGTGATTTAAAATTGGGATAAAATTAACCAGATTCAATTCAATGCCATGAAAACCCAGGCATCGGTTTTCTCCAAAAAAAATATAATAATGTCAGGACAAACATTTCCGCTTTCTACTTCGATAAGTTGGGGTGCTAAAATGGACACCAATATGTCTTGGCACAATCATGTTGCTGAAATTGCAAAGGCTACTTCTCAAAAGCTTAGAACACTGTTCCAAACCAGAAAATTGTACACACCTCAGCAACTTTTATTGCTTTATAAAGCTCAACTAAGACCTTCTTTGAAGTATTGTTCTCATGTACGGAGCTCCGCCCCTAAGCATACCATGAAGCTGATGGATTCTATTCAGAAAAGAGCCATCCGCCTGATTGGGGACACGAGCATCACTTGAAACCTTGATAATCTGGAACATTGAAGAATGGTTGGAGATTTGTCTCTTTCATAGATACTTCCTCGGGAGGTGTTCTAGTAACTTGAAACATTTGATTCCACTAAGAGCGGTACATATCAGAAATACGCGACGGATTGTGGCTGCTCATCGTGTTGAGGTTCAACTTAGTACACCTCGAACTACATATATGTGGAATAAGTAAGTTTTTCCAAATGAATTTGATCCAACACGAATCGCTACTTTCGCACGAGTACCACTCCTAGACCGCCTCCAGGTTTTTTCTGTAGTGCAGGGGCGATATTGACGATATTTAGGGTCTTTAATGACATTTTATAAATACATATATTATAACATATTATAAAACAATTTTTTAAACAGATTTTTTTATAATATGTTAAAATATAAGTATGTATGAAATGTCATTAAAGACCCTAAATATCGTCAATTTGAATTATGAATAACAAAAAGAGGAGGAAAGGTAAGTTAAAAAGGAATGGAAGTTTAGCTTCAAATATGTCGCCATGAAAAGATTTCTTGAAGGGGCGTTGTGCGAAGAATTTGAATAAATTTTACGAAATCCAATTTCCGTAAGGCCGGAATTGAATTCCTTTCCTGATCATGTTGTTGGTTTGTTTGGGAGAAAATACTCATACATATTTATATGAATTTTGGGATGGAGTTGAAATGTTCAATATATCGGATGACAACGAAATCATTGTACATAGCACCATTCAGTTGTTTCTGGGGTGAGAAATCTGAAATTAGAAACGAGGATATAGTTCAGTGAAGCCGATATTTTTAATGAAAACCTATTTTGGTTTAACCAAAAACATTATTTTTGTACAACTGTTATTATGAATGACATTTTTAATGGTTTTCAAGTGTATTAAAAGATGATGTTCACAAAGTAGTGTGTTAAAAATATTTTTAACGATATTCTGAGCCGATTTTTTGGTAACAACTCAATTGAAGCTCTTCCTCTTCAATATCGTCAGGAACACACATCTCCTCACTATTGTGATTCATTGTGCAAGACATTCAACACCAGCAAGAACTTCAAATGTGACTTCAAATAAAACGCGTTAGCTATAAACAATACTGTTTGTTGGTAACCAGGTGATTCGGCGTCACCTGACACGGCCACTTCACAGCAAATGTGATAACATGAAAATAGTTAACCGACAAGAGATGTCAAAATGTGTTTTTACGAGTATAGAACTCGCTACGCTAGTTTCGCAAACTTTTTTACTCACAAAATAAAACCTTACTTTCAACACTCATATCATAAATAGCTATTGTGACAAATTTATAAATTAACTGTCTTAAACAAATTTATTTCCAACAATAATTCATTAATCACAAATTAATTTGTGTATTACAACACTTAGCAACTAACGCTTAATTCATTTCCACTATTTGAATTTCTTGTTTAGCCGCTCGATTCACTTTCTCAACTGCCCTTTTGGGTTGGGAAGACAGGCATATATCGGTAAAGGTCCTTTCTAGAATTCTGTAGTCGGTTCGGTACTAGAATTTTACCGGCAATTCCCGACTGCCTTCTTTTAAGGTGAGGTCATGTGTTTGTTCGATGAGTCGGCTGGCCTATCGGTCAGGGGCAGCTTCAATTTCAATTAATTAATTTTTACTTAAAAATCGAGAAAACTTCGGTTTTCTGTTTCTCAATAAATTAAGTTGTTCGACAATATTTCCACAAATGACATTATATTTTCGACATACTGAAAAAAATGTTCAGTTGTGTTATATCGTTAAACGGAGAATTTTATAGTTATCAAATGATCTGAAAAACATACAGGATTCTATATGAAATTTTTCACTTGGTTTCATTCCAGGTTGAACCGAAATGGATTTCGAATGATTTTTTCGTTCCGTGTACAATGATTCCATTGTCGCCCAGTATATTGAATAATTTCAAATTTGAAAAGAAAACCTACATCTAAAGTTCAACGCCACCGGTGTTTTCAATGAATTGATAGACTTTTGATAATACAAAATTGAACAAAATCATAAATATGTATGAGATATTTATTAGATAGGATAAAACGATCTGCTCATTTCTATCACAAAATTTGATTATTTTCAAAATTTGAAAGGTTTTAACTTTCATACATGCGTTAGGCTTCGCATATTTCATCAACACTAATCAAAATGTGTTTTGGCTACCTGCAAGTCAAAATGTTTTGGTTTGAAACACTTTTTTGACTACTAACTTATTGTATTTTTGTTTTATGGAGCAATGGACAAGAAAGCAACAAATATAATGTTCATCATTTTGGTTGGTTTCCGGGTTTTGCCGTGGTCTTTTTTCATTACCATATTCAAACGTTTTAACTGTAACTGCAGCAGTTATCTTCAGTAGCGTGGTCGAAGTAATCTTCTGGAACTGGAACTGTTGACACCAGCCATGAAAGCCTATATTTCTATATAGATATAGAAATATAGATATCAAAAACGACATTATATTTCCAAGTCATATATCGTGAACAAGTAAATAAA